AAATGAACGACGATTATCACGATTTTCATGTAATTATTTTTTGTTATTCCGTTGGTCAACACGGAATCCCTATGTGCGATTACGAATTCCATGTTAAATAACAATAACTAGAAAAAGAAAGAAAAGTTGAAAACCGGGTTCCGTGTTGAACTACACAGAAGTAGCATGATTTGCTGCTTTTTTTTTTTATTCAAGATATACATAATTCAAAAAAAAAAAGGCTGATGTGGCAACTTATTGAGTTCAGGTGGAATCGAAGTTTTATTTTTGTTGAGGTGGCAATCCGAGAAAAAAGACAATGTTTAGGTGGTTAAATGCTATGTACCCCTAATTATATATATGCATGCTTGTCGGTGATGGAAGCTATAAGGTACACATATGACAGTTCGTTTATGCCCATGTTCATATGATAACTTGTTATTATGTGTTATTTTTTTCTTAAATTCCGCTGCGTACATGTGCTTGATTCCTACAACAGTAATTAAGCACTACAAGCCATCCACAAACTGATGGTTGTACGAAAGGCAACCAGTGCTTAAAAAGTCAGTTGAGGTGTATGTGCGGACAATTTTTCAAGAAATAGAGTTCTTGAATAGCATTAACTGAGTGATGGTATAATACCACTTACCATTCATATATACAAATGACCCCATTTGAAGTTCTTTATGGGTATTTTGCACCCCAACTGGGCAATGGACCTCACGTAATTTACCAAGACAAAATGGGTAGAAGCTTGGGTGAAAGACCATCAAATGGTATCACAACAACTAAAGGGGCTAATTAGGGAAGCTCAAGAAATGATGAAATACTTTCCAAATCAACATAGAAGTGAAATGATGTCTGAAATAGGAGATTAGGTTTACCTCAAGCTAAAACCCTACAAACAACTCACGCTGAGAAAAATTCACATTTGGAAAAGGGTTAATAGCAATTTGCCACCTGTATTTCGCCTGTTTTTGTGCTTTGCCATCTTAACTACAAAAATTGTGTGCCTTGTTTTTTCTTTCTTTTCCTTCTCTCTCTCACACACACATGCAAAGACATGCAGAACCCGATTATTTGCTATTTTTGTTGAAATCTAATTGTGGTGGGGGAAGGGGAGGAAAATCAGCTCAGAAGATGGTGAATTTTCCATCAATTTCTTGAATGAGCTAGCTACCTGTAATATTTAAATGCATAAGTTAACAAGAAAAAGCGAAAGAAAAGGCTTACATAATGAAAAATCATAGCCGAAGACGAAGAATATCCTCAACGAGATGTACTAGGTGAAGTCCCTTCTTTATCTCCTTAGGGTACTGGAGAGGGAGGGTTAGCTGGAATATACACAACCCAGCCCTCAGTTTAAACTCCTCCACAACTTTTCCCTCTTCCCTATTAAACTGCAATTAAAAATAAAATAGAAAAAAATTGAACAAAGTAATACAAAACATAAATTGGGTTCTGGATGTGAGAGAGAGAGAGAGAGAGAGGGCCCACAAATTTTTTGAGTTGAAAATACCAAAAAATCTTACATTAAGCATGTGCATGGCTCGTGCACTGGTAAATGAGAAGATTCGTTAGAATATTTTCCTGAGGTGGTCATGTGCGTAAAAAAATGCGGGTTTTTGTGTGTCCGTGCAACTTTTTTAGTTAAGGTAGCAAAGCGCAAAAACGGGCAAACTACCGGTGGCAAAATGCTATTAACCCTTTGGAAATAACTCCAACTTATTACCCCTAAATTCCAGGGTCAACCCAGTCTTTCTTGTCTCACAACTCAAGTGGAAAATACTAGGGTTAGGGCATCTCCAAAGTGGAGAGGTAAATACATAGATGCTATATCTATTATACCTTATGAAGAGTGTTTTACTATCCCTATTTTTACTCACCTACTCCAACCATATCATTTATATTTTAGCATTCTATTATATTTAATTATTTTTCAACTATTCTAAATATGTGTAATTAATTTATTGTATTATATAGATTTTCCTTCTTGTCATCATTCTCCCACGCTCTCAGCCGTGGGTTTTCCAGCCGTGGGTTTTCTTTTTTCTCCCTTCAATTTTTCATTCCTTTTTTTGGCCTGTTGCTATCATAAATCAAAGTCTTGAACATTTTGTCTCAAACAAATACAGTTCAGATATTCAATGGCGCACTTCTTTAACAATTTTTTTATATAATCCCCAAAATTTTGACGATGATGATGATATAAATTTTGCTGCCATACTGCCATTTTGACCCATTTTATTTTTCTCTAACTTTTCAATTGAAGAAAAAACAGAGCAGATAAAATACATCTATCAGAAGAACAACAAAAAAAATGGAGTTTGCCGGAATACCAGGGAAAAGGACGATGGCGCGAAAGCAGGGGAGAAATAAACCTTAATGTTTTTTGATTTTTTTTTTCTATCTGATTGTTCTTTTGGCTTGAAGATTTTTTTTATTGTGTTTTTAATCCCTAAATTATTTTATTTTTTAATAGAAAAATTCATCAACCACCCAATTTAATTTTTAAGATTTTTAGTTACTTTTTCAACTGTTCATGATTATTTTAATATTTTTTGCATTTAGCTTCTATGAACAGTAGGTGGTATATATAGCTGTTGGGGATTTAATTTTAGCTGATGAGGTAAAATTTACCTCTCCCGTTGGAGACGATTTTTTTTGGAGAAATGGTATATTTTCACCTTTTTAGCATATAGCAGGCCCTTTTTTTTTATGGTTGGAGATGCTCTTATACCTGCAAATATACCATCTTTGTTGAGAATCTCAATTCTTGCTGGTTATTGGTATATGTGGGCCCAAATGAGTTTTCTACAATAGGCCCAACAACCAACCACCTTGCAGCCATTCATCTTGGAACTGGCCCATCACTAAGGCCCAACTAAAGGAGAAAAGCTGGATTTATTCCTGTCCGTTGGATTTGAAGGATTAATCTCAACCGTTAAATCCAGGTTTATAAACCCTTCTTCTCCTCACTTTCTCCAGGATTTTTTTCCCAGAACCCTAACTCCTAAAAAAACGCCGCTGCTGCAATCTCTCTCTTCTCGGGTCCGTTTCTTCCGCCGGAAAATATTGCTAAGTCTTCTCATATATATATATATATATATATATATATATATATATATATATATATATATATATATATTTCTCTGTGTGAGAAAACCATATCGAAAAATTCCAATTAATCTGCCTTTATAATACTCTCGTTCTTCTCTTCTCCCTGCTTTGTGTTATGGGTTAAGAAAATCTGTGTGTGAGTGAGAGTGGTCAAATTGTGTACTTTTGCTTCGTGATCTTGAGGGGTTTTTCGGTTGGGGTTGAGGGTTTTAGAGGGCTGTGAGTTGGAGTTCGTGGCTAGTGAAAGTCAGGCCTGGTTCCAGTGAATGCGTGGAGGCAGCCAAGTGGGTCTTGTACGAGGACGATCGGAAACTGAGGACTGAGCCGGATCTTCGTCTTCAACACAGATCTGTTTACGGATCTGTCGGGTTAGCTAATTATTCTTATAATCTGTAATTTTATTATTATTGAATATTTAGAATTGCTTTGTACTCCCTAATCCCGTTTCCCATAGGATTTATTATTCTGTATTCATATAATTATTCGGTCTGTAATAATTATTGAGTTCAACGGGTACCCAACAGTGGTACCAGAGCAATAATTTATTGTACCCGTTGAACTGGCGTACAAAACCCTACCATGGGTTTTGCTCATGTATTGTATTCTAAACCCCATATGGTTGGTTTTTATTTTCATGTTTATTGGTTGGTTGCGATTTTGGATCTGTGTGTCCAGCTTTATTAATTGTTGGATTTGTGTGTCCATTAATTGTTGGATCTGTGTGTCCATTTAGTGCTGGATCTGTGTATCCATTTGTGTTAATTTAGATGAATCTGTGATTCAATCTGTGTGCGCTAAATTTTCGTTTATTTATTCCGCTGCTTATTTGAATTATTTTAGCAATACCAAATATAGATTTATTTTTCGATTTGGTTTAGCCTCTCTCTCTACACAAAAACCCAGCTTGCGGGAACCGCTAGTGCTTCCTGACCTGGTTGGGGTAGTTGAGGGAGGACTGCCAAGTCTTTGTTACTTGCTTTACGTTAATTTTGGTATTGTTTACTTGCGCAATCGTAATTTTTTATCCTGCTGTGTGTTCTGGATAATGGCTTCTATGACTGCTTATTATGTGGCTCATTTTGATGGAAAAGGTGATTTTTCAATCTGGCAACAAAAAATGAAAAGTATTTTAATTCAACAAAAATTCTTTAAAGCTATTTCTTTAGAAGATGTTTTTATGGCTAATGTCAGACGTGAAGAATTTGATGAACTTGCTTATGCCTCTATTATTCTGAATTTGAGTGATTCTGTGATTAGAAAAGTAGGAAAGCATGATTCTGCTAGAAGTCTATGGGATAAGTTGGAGGAACTTTATACTGAAACTTCCTTGCCCTCAAAATTGTTTTTGCTCGAATTTTTTTTCAGATTTAAACTTGACTTGAACAAAGAGATTGATGTCAACATCGATCAGTTTACAAAACTTGTTCAAGATATTAAACTGACTGGAGATAAAAATATTGATGATTATACTCCAATTGTTCTTTTAAATGCCATACCAGAGTCTTACAATGATTTAAAATCTGCCATTAAATATGGTAGGGACTCTGTAACTCTTGATGTCGTTATAAATGCTTTGAAAAGTAAGGAGTTGGATTTAAAAGTGAACAAGAGCAACAAATCTTTTGGTGAGGTGAACTTTGTGAAAGGAAACAACAAAATCGTTTTCAAAACAAAAACCCGGCTTTCAATCAAAATGGTCAAAGTTCTTCAAATTTTCAAAACAAGAAAAATGGCAAGTGGAATGGAAAGTATAATGTGAAACCAAATACTCCTAGGAAGTGCTATAATTGTGGTGACCCAAACCATTTTTCTATGTGTGCCCTAAACCTAGGAGATATCAGAAAATTGCTAATGTCAACCAAGTTTCTGATAATATTGGTGATGTTTTTATGCTAAGTGGTATGCATGCTTCTGTGAATTCTGTGTTAGCCTCTCTTAGTGAGAATGAATGGCTTCTTGATTCTGCATGTTCATATCATATGACTCCACGTAGGGAAGTTTTTTCTGACTATGTGCAAATGAAAAACTGTGGTGTTACTTTAGCTGATGGCACTATGATAGTTGTGAATGGTATTGGAACTGTATGCTTAAAATTTGTTTCGGGCTCTGTGTTAACCTTGAAAAACGTGAGGCATGTTCCTACCTTAAGTCATAATTTGATCTCGTGTGCTGTACTTGAAGACGATGGTTTTCGTGGGGATTGGGGAGATGGTTGCATGAATATTATGAAGGGTAGCCGTTATTTGTTTAAGGCTTTGAGAATGGGAAATATGTATGTTTGTTCTGCTGAATCTTCTGCATCTATGAATGTTGTCCAAAATGATTTATCTGAATTATGGCATAAAGGACTAGGTCACATGAGTAATAAATGGCTTAGTATATTGCATAAAAATCAGTATTTTGGAAATGATAAAGTGTCTTCTGTGACTCTATGTGATTCATGCATTTTAGGTAAACAAACGCATGTTCTTTTTCCTGAATATCCTTCTCCCAATCTATCTAGATGCACGGAAATCCTAGAATATATTCATGCTGATGTGTGGGGTCCCACCAGTGTTCCTACATATGGTGGGAACCGTTATTTTCTGTCTATTATTGATGATTATTCTCGTAAAGTGTTTGTTTTCCTGTTAAAGCAAAAATCGGATGTCTTTGACAAATTTAAAACCTGGAAAACGTTGATTGAAAATCAAACTGGTAAACGGATAAAAACACTTAGGACAGATAACGGTATTGAGTTTTGCAACCTAGAATTCGATAATTTGTGTGCTAACTCTGGAATTAGAAGGCATAAATCTGTTGTGCACACCCCACAACAAAATGGTGTGGCCGAACGAATGAATAGAACCCTTCTCGAAAGAGTAAGGTCTATGTTAACTAGTTCTGGACTGCCAAAGTTGTTTTGGGGTGAAGCAATTTTGACTGCTACTTATTTGATTAATCGTTCTCCATCTATGCCATTAAATGGCGACTTACCTGAATCTGTGTGGTGTGGTAAGAAAGTAGATTTGTCAAACTTGCATGTTTTTGGTTACGCTGCTTTTGTTCACCATAAAGGTGATAAACTTGAACCCCGTTTCGTGAAATGTATTTTCTTAGGTTACCCCGATGGGGTTAAGGGGTATAGGCTTTGGTTGAAAGGGGATTTTGGTTATAAAATCATAATTAGTAGGGATGTTATTTTTAATGAATCTGGATTTCCTTGTCTTGCTGTCCCTAATGTGGTTATTCCTCAATCTACTCCAAATGAGGTGGAGCAATTGCCTATTAAATCTGATGATGTGAGTGATTCTGAATTATCTGAAAATCTGCAAGATCAAACTGTTGAATTGCCTAACGTGGATGATTTGTCTGATTATCAACTTGCTAGGGATAGACCTAGACGTGAGCATGTTAGGAAACCTAAACACTTTGATGATTTTCACCTTGCCTCGCATGTTTTCAATGTTTTTGAATCATTAGATGGAAATGAGCCTAAGTCGTATAAAGATGCTTTAAAATCTGATAAATCTACTGAATGGTTAAATTCTATGAATGATGAAATGAACTCGTTGCATGTTAACCAAACTTGGGAACTTGTGCCTAAACCTGTTAATTGTTCTGTGGTAGATTGCAATTGGCTGTTTAAGGTCAAAAATGAGGTAGATTCTATTAAGTATAAAGCTAGGCTTGTGGCTAAGGGCTTTACTCAAAAATAGGGTGTTGACTACACCGAAATTTTTGCCCCTGTTGTTAAATTCACTACTGTGCGTATTATGCTTGCTTTAGTTGCTCATTTTAATTGGGAATTGAAGCAAATGGATGTTAAAACTGCGTTTTTGCATGGTGAATTAGATGAGACGATCTATATGAAACAGCCCGAGGGCTTTATAGATCCTAATAAAGGTGAACATGTGTGTTTGCTTAAAAAGTCTTTGTATGGCTTGAAACAATCTCCTAGGCAATGGAATAAGAAATTTGACTCTTGCATGCTTTCTTTGAATTTTAAACGAAGTGACTTCGATTCTTGCCTTTATTTTATGGAGAATGCTCGTGTTCCTATCTTTCTGTTAATTTATGTTGATGATATGCTCCTAATTAGTCCTTGCTTGAAATCCATTGATTATATCAAAAAGTGTCTAAGTGAACAATTTGATATGAAGTACTTAGGAGATGCCAAGAAGATTCTTGGAATTAATATTGATAGGGATCGTAGTAATAACACCTTGCTTCTTAATAAAATTTCTTATGTTGAAAAGATCTTGGAAAAATTCTCAATGAATTCTGCTAAATCTGTTTCTGTGCCATTAGCTGCCCATTTTTTGCTAAGTAAGACTCAGTCTCCTTCTACTGAATCTGAAATAAATGATATGCAATATGTGCCTTACTCCAATGCTATTGGATCTGTCATGTATCTTATGGTTTGTACTCGGCCTGATATTGCGTATGCAGTTAGTTGTTTAAGTAGATATATGTCTAATCCCGGTATGCCGCATTGGGAAGCGCTTAAATGGCTTCTTCGTTATTTGAAAGGTTCGTTGAACTTGGGTTTAAATTTTTCCAAATCTAATAATGGTGTTGAATTAATCGGATATGTGGATTCTAATTTTGCTAATGATAGAGATAATAGGAAATCTACTACTTCTTATGTTTTTACTTTGTGTGGCTCTTGCATTAGTTGGAAATCTCAGTTGCAACGTATAGTAGCTTTATCTACTACTGAAGCAGAGTACATTGCTGCAACCGAGGCTATAAAAGAAGCCATTTGGCTTAAAGGTCTTCTTAAGGAAATTGGTTTCTTAAATATAGAAGTAGCTGTCTATTCAGACAGCCAATCAGGTATTCAACTGTGTAAGAACCCGGTTTTCCACGAGAGAACTAAACACATACAAATTAAGTACCACTTTATTCGTAACATAGTGGATCGTGGAAAAATTAGACTTGAAAAGATCCCATCCGAATTTAATCCTGCTGATATGGGTACTAAGTGCCTACCCATCGAGAAATTCAGATCTTGCTTGAAAAATCTGAATTTCGAGACGAAAGGTTGATTTACTTTACTTATTTCATTTTTTATTGCTTTCGTAATGTTATTTTATTTTATGCAAATAAATTGTGTACTAACTCTATTCTGTTGAGTGCAAGTACATTTACCCGGCAATGATGACCTCAATGTTTCCACAAAAGTCCCGATGACTCATTTGGTCCAAGTGGAGATTATTGGTATATCTGGGCCCAAATGAGTTTTCTACAATAGGCCCAACAACCAACCACCTTGCAGCCCATTCATCTTGGAACCGGCCCATCACTAAGGCCCAACTAAAGGAGAAAAGTTGGATTTATTCCTGTCCGTCGGATTTGAAGGATTAATCTCGACCGTTAAATCCAGGTTTATAAACCCTTCTTCTCCTCACTTTCTTCAGGATTTTTTTCCCAGAACCCTAACTCCTAAAAAAACGCCGCTGCTGCAATCTCTCTCTTCTCGGGTCCGTTTCTTCCGCCGGAAAATATTGCTAAATCTTCTCGTGACTCTTATTTTCCGTAGAGGATTGTTGTGTGGTGGAGATATATATATATATATTTCTCTGTGTGAGAAAACCATATCAAAAAATTCCAATTAATCTGCCTTTATAATACTCTCGTTCTTCTCTTCTCCCTGCTTTGTGTTATGGGTTAAGAAAATATGTGTGTGAGTGAGAGTGGTCAGATTGTGTACTTTTGCTTCGTGATCTTGAGGGGTTTTTCGGTTGGGGTTGAGGGTTTTAGAGGGCTGTGAGTTGGAGTTTGTGGCTAGTGAAAGTCAGGCCTGGTTCCAGTGAATGCGTGGAGGCAGCCAAGTGGGTCTTGGACGAGGACGATCGGAAACTGAGGACTGAGCCGGATCTTCGTCTTCAACACAGATCTATTTACGGATCTGTCGGGTTAGCTAATTATTCTTATAATCTGTAATTTTATTATTATTGAATATTTAGAATTGCTTTGTACTCCCTAATCCCGTTTCCCATAGGATTTATTATTCTGTATTCATATAATTATTCGGTCTGTAATAATTATTGAGTTCAACGGGTACCCAACACTGGTTCTAGAAGAAGTGCTATGAAGAAGAATGGTGAAGAAAAACATCACAACTTGGTTCAGTGGTTGGTTCGTTAGGCCCAATTGCCTAAAGAAGAAGCTACGTGGGAGGAAACTAATGCAACGGAGAAGTTCACAATTTCAAGCCATGGGTAATGGCTCGAAAAAGAGGGGTGCCATGTAACGGAATTACCTGCTTTTTCTTGCTTGCACGACCTCGTTTTAACTTAATGAGTCGTTACTACATTATTACAATTTTTATTTTTATTTTCGAATTGGTGAGCGGAGATGTATGCAATGTCGTTTCAAGACCTGCTTCATAGGACCGGATTGCTCATCCCGTTGAGGAAGATGCCACTAAATAGTGTATGCAATATTGGGTTTTAGGCAAGCAATCTCTAAGTATTTTGTTAGCTAGTTAAAGTAGATGATTTAGCTTCTTCCCCAAGTTTCATTTCTACTTTGTAATATTCAAGTTTTGGCTATCCAAATCGAATATTTTATCTTCAAAATTCCATAATTTGATTCACAATTTCAATATTCATAACACTCCGCTCATATATTTTTCCACTCATCAACAATGATCTAAAGAATCGAATTCGCAGATCCTTTTTATAAGTAAGAGATTATAGATTATTTTTGAAGGGTTTTCTTCGATAAACTTAGACGATAAAATACTCGATTGCACGAGTATTGGAAGGACGCTAAGGATAGGGATGGCAAAAAAACCCAATCCGCGGGTTTCCGCTCAGTTTAAAACCCGCTACCGAAACCATTTGGGTTTGGTAATGGTTTTGGTTTTACCCCTTAGGTCATGGGTACCCGACCATTTAATATATATATATATATATATATATATATATATATATATATATATATATATATATATATATATATATATATATATATATATATATATATATATATATATATATATATATATATATATATATATATATATATATATATATATATATATATATATATATATATATATATATATATATATATATATATATATATATATATATATATATATATATATATATATATATATATATATATATTTTTATATATTTATATATATATTTATATTTTTTTTTATATTTTATTTTAAATAATTTATTTAATTAATTTTATATATATATATATATATATATATATATATATATATATATATATATATATATATATATATTTTTATATATATATTTATTTATTTTTTTATATTTATATATATATATTTATATAT